CGGTGGCGGTGCCGGGTATGGGAACAGCTCGCACCCCCTGCGAGGACGCCTGCCAAACGACGAATCAGTACAACCCTGTCTGCGGCGACGACAACGTCACCTACTACAATCACGCGAGGTTGTCGTGCGCCACCCGCTGCGGAAAGAGTACGTCACAATGCAAAACAATTGCACGCGAAACAATTCAAATTCATTGCCTTCTTCTCATTCATTGTTTCAGGGGTGCAGATGAGCCGGCTGGGACGATGCTCCGTGTGGGACGATTAGAGAGGCGCAACGCCACCGTCATCATCATAATCATCCCCCCAAAGCCGCCATCTATGTTCGTACAACGAGAGAAAGAAAGAAAAAACATTGAGACACGCATGCAGAGAAAGAGAGACAAAAGAGCAAAAAAAAAAAAAGAAAAACCGGTCCGAAGAGCGGAGGGTATGTAGCAACAACACAACAAAAGATCTTCTCTGTTTACAATTATTACCTGAAGACTGGACTTTCGAAAAAGCAACAACGAAAAAAAAAGAAACGGAAAACAGACGTAATTGCTGCACAAACCTTTCCGAGAAAAACGTGACCCTCTCTTCCGACCGTTTTCCCTTCTTTTTCCATCGCATTCTTTCTTTTGTTCCTTCCAACAACAAAAAAAAAGGAATTTCAAAAAACGAAGGTAGAAATCCGCAAAGTCTCGAAAAAAACAAAGTGCGCGCAATTATTTATTTACTTTTTATAGTTTTATTCTTCTCTAATTACGTTTATGTTATTATATTTATTATTTAATTAAAATTTTTGTTCGAAATGCAACAAATACAATATAATTTTAGGACCCTTCGACACAACAAATCCTCAAGTGAAATTTAGATTTAGCACACATTCTAAAATCTATATCTTTAGTGATTAGTAAAATACTTGATAAACACAACAAATATAGAAAACACTCGTTACACTTGTTATTAGAAACGCTGATGTATTTCTTCTGTTATTGCTAAAGACTTTGAATTAGTACACTGAAATGCATGCATAATCAGTTGGAAATTAAACGTGTTTTTCTTATTCAGAAGTAAATGCCTCGTACTTTTTTAAAGCCATCCTTAAGTATTATAAATATAGAATATGTACGATGAATATGCATGTCTCTCGGTAGGCCGTTAGGAAAATTCCGATCGAGAATCGAAGGACTCGATGCAAAACAAAAAATATGATCGTTTTTCATTTATCTTTCTTTCCATTATGCAATTGGTAGTTTTAAATACGGCAATTATGTAACAGTTAAATGGTAATTTGCGAATCTCTATTTGACGTTAATAATCAGCAAGTAATTAATTCGTCGCTAATGACTTGAAAACATATTTTTTTTTTTTTTGGAAATTTCCGTTCGGTGCGTTTCGTTGAATCGAATCGATTTTCACTCTTCACTCGAACAATGCAATAATCAGTATTTTCTAACTAAATAATGTTTTAATTGTTGAGCCGAAACCGCCAGAGTGTTCGAAACGGAATTTCCAATATACAAAACCGAAACTATTATTATCAATCATCATTATTATTGTTATTAAACGGTTTATGAAAATTATTAATATGCGAGCGCTAAAACTTGGCTGCAGATGAATCAGAGAACGGTTTTTAGGGAAATACCGGTGTCTTTTACATTGAAACGTCCATAAGTCGACTAATCTTAGTCATTATTTTGATTGATTTAATGACATTAACATTTGTCACATCAACGTCGACTTTCTTAATTTATACACACACACACACACACATGGACTGAAATAAAAAAAAACTGCATACGTCAAAGATATAAATTTAAAATGTTAGACTTTCATATTGTGAGTTTTTTTCATATTCTTCCTTCCACCGCCTTTCTCATTTAGCTTATACTGTTTACGTAAATTTGAGTTCACTTCGGTTCAAGTAAAAACTACCATGCGTTACTTGTGTTGCCTATATTCACACTCTAAAATTGCAAAACAGGTTCGCTCCTTCCTTTAATCGTTCGCAGTTTATCGTTTGCATTCATGAACATTTTTGCGATGTTGTTTTTTTTTAAATTACCAAATCAATAATATTTAGCAGAATAGTTATTAAATCACCAGAATTTGTAAGTCTTGAGTTTAGTTATAGAAAAGTAGAATGTTGGCAATTGGAATTGCGGAAATAAACAAAAGAGAAAGTCTAAGTGTAAAAATGCGATGCTGGAAAATCTCATTAGTTTAATTTAATTAATTGCTTTGCTTTTGCTTTTGCTTTGATCGATTTGCGGATTTCTATTGTTGTCTGTGTTCATCACAACACATTTGAAGGTGTAATTTAACTACGCCGATGATTCATGTTTAATTGATGTTTTTTTTATTAACTTCACTGTGCAATCTCTAGTTAAGATTTCGCTTGGATTGAATCACGTTTAATCTGTTTGAATGGACGTAATGAAATGATTGCCATTTTAAAATGAAACGAAAACAATTGGATTATCATTTCCGCGTCGCGCGGCGGCAACGTCGCGCCTATGGAAAATTTCCGCGTTTGATAATGATGATCATCATCATCATTGACGAGTTGGATGATGATGATTGTGATGATTATTATTGGGTGAGCTGTCGTCTGATGGCGCTGCATGCGTTGTTGAATGTTGTTTTTGTTATCGTGTGTTGGCAACGCCGAGTAAAAGTTTGCGCCGTCGCCGCTCCCCACCCCAGGCATGTCATGACCGAGAGTGTGTATTCCTACCGTAGTTGTTAATTAGTATAGTTCTTAACGTTTAGATTTAATAGTAATTTTAAGTTTAGTGTTAGGACTTAGAAGTTAAGATGGAAGAATACGAATACGGGTAAGTGTTGCTGAAACGCGTTGGCGATCATATATTTTATCTTTATTTATTTTTCATTTATTTTTCTTTATTTGCAATATTTTTGACGTGTATATTTTCGTTTCCCGCTTTCGTCCGAACAAATCGTGACATCTCTTCGTCGTCGTCGTTGTTGTTGTTTTCGGCTGACGGACGGACGGAAAGAGGTTTTCGGGCTTCGGCAAGTGACAGACGGTGGCGCCTAAATCTCGCGCTGCTCTCTCACTCATACACGCACTCTGTGTTTGAATGGTTGTCGCGCGCATTCGTACACATATATATTTTCCATCTTGCTCGATCTGACGCTCGCGCCATATCCGTCCCCGTCTTTCCCCCCCGCTGTAATATGCTCTTTTTGACGGACGGACGGAAGTCGGCCATTGTAGTTTGGTAGCATTTGTACTTCGTGTCTGTTATCATCGCGTGTACATTATTTACATATGCCGTATGCGTGTGATGCACGTAGTTAGTAGTATACGTCGATGATCACGCATCAACATCATCATCTACGCAAACGCTGCTGCTACCAGTGAAAAAAGGCAAAAGAAAGGCATAACAATATATCATAACCTCTGAAACGTGACCGCCGCGCGGTTTTCGATCTGTTTTTGTTTCTCCCCTCGACCAGTAACTTTTTTTTTTATTATTATTGTTGTTGTGGTGTTCCTGCCACCGTGTTTGCCTGGTGTTATTTTTTTTCCCCCAAAGAATCGGTCGTCTTGTGCGCGTATGTGAAACCTCAAAAGCTACCAACCGTTTCCCCACCATCACCACCGCGCCGTCACCGGCGCCACCTCCGCTGCCGCTGCTGCTGCTTCACATCATCGTAATCATCGCCGACGCCCCCTCCTCCACTGCTCGCGCGCGTTCGTTTTCTCTACCTCCCTCCCTCCATACCACTCTCTCTCTCTCTCTCTTCGGAAGTTCAAGTTTTTGGGTAACACGAAATCCCCGTTTCTCGGTGTTCTTCTCTTCACGCTAGTTTTTGAGGGGGGCTCGCCGGGCCTAGCATGCGAATGTTGCGAATTCCAAAGCAAGAAATGGATGACGACGAGAAAGGGTATTTATTACAAACACATTTTATTATTATTAATAATAATTATTATAATTATTATTATTCTATCATTTGTTTATTACATCCATCAAAAGTGTGATGCGACTGTGTGTGTGTACGTGTGTTTGCGCCCCTTTTCGTATGTTCGTGCGTGCGTGTATTATTTGTGGTGCATCATCTACAAATCGTCATCATCACATCATCATTTACAATGAAAAACATCGCTGCCTCCGCCGCACATTGCAACAATCGGCGTCGTCTTCGTTGCCGCCGTGCGGTGGCGTTGGAAGCTCTGCGGGGGCCCATGTCCTCCTTCGACGACGCCACCGCCGCCGCCGCAGATCCTATTCCGTTTTTCTCTCTGTGTGTGTATGTGTGTGTGTTGCCCCTCTAATTATATAAATGCGACACGTAAGATTTTTTTTTGGGTCACACGCATAGACACACACACACACATAAATCGTACGTAGCGATGGATGAGAGCAGACCATGTTTTATGAGCGTGCTACATATGTAGTTTTGCACATTCACGGCCACCATTGTTATTTACATAAGACTCGGCCATTTTCCTTTTTTCTCTTTTTGGTGTCTTCTCTACTTTTCTCTCGCCCCGTCGTCGCTGCTGCCCCGAAAAAAAGAACAGCACATCCATACATATGGAACAATAACAATTTCCGATGCAATCCGTGTACGTGTATTTCTTTTTCTTTTGTATACACGTAGTTACTCTTTCCGAATGTATATGTGTGTATGTGTATATATATATATGCATGCATATGTGCGTGTGTGCACGTAAGAGAGAGATTGTGTGTGTATGTGTGTGTAGATATATATATATATATAATGTCAATATAACCGGCTTGCGTTCACCGACCCCAAGCCAGCCTAGATCAAAGAACCTTAGAACGTTATATCCCCCTTTCTTGGTTTCCCCCCTGCGCCATCACTCGCTCGCTCGCTCTCTCTTGTATATACACACAAACACACTCCACCATGTTGTTTTTCTTTTTCTTTGTTTTCATTTCTAGGTTTACATTTTATTTTATATCTATAAATTGTCATTTGTATCGATGATGTACCTATATAGTTTTACTGTGTAGTTTCTTCATTTGATATCACTTGCATTTCGACAACTGCAAGTGCAGTCGAGTAATTGCTGCCTGTCAAGTTTTTTTTGTTTACTTCTTGCCCGTTCACCAGGGCATGTTCATGTTGTGATACTCATTTTTATCACTATTATTCTAAGGCATTTCCTCTTATTTTAAGCATACCTGAAGCTCACCTTTCTATGACCATATGAAGTAAATAATTTGACCAGATGCCCGAGCATGTTCTGTTCTCATTGCAGAAATCGACTACAGGTTTTCCTAAAGAATGAAATATCTTTGTCTTTGGATTACCATCTGATTTGCAAATATAGATTTATATTAAATGTGTTTCATGTTTTGAAGATGCATAACAGAACAATGTATTAATATGTATGTTTTCTTTTTGTTTGTTTTTACAGAAAATTGTTTGTTGGCGGTCTGTCATGGGAGACCTCCCAAGACAACCTTAGCCGGTACTTCCAACGATACGGAGAGGTTATCGATTGTGTGGTGATGAAGAACGCCGAGTCCGGAAGGTCCCGCGGCTTCGGATTCGTCACCTTCGCCGACCCCAATAACGTAACCGTAGTCTTACAAAACGGTCCTCATACATTAGATGGACGGTACGTAAATTAATACTAAGTTTAAAATATTGTTGTTACCTGAGCAACAACTTTCTCTTTCAAACTTCATTACATTACATTCATATGTATTGATATTATTATTATTATTATCAATTGCAGCACTATTGACCCTAAGCCGTGTAATCCACGCACCCTGCAGAAGCCGAAGAAAGGAGGCGGTTACCCGAAGGTGTTCCTGGGTGGACTGCCGTCCAACGTGACCGAAACCGACCTGAGGACGTACTTCATGCGGTTCGGAAAAGTGATGGAGGTCGTTATCATGTACGACCAGGAGAAGAAAAAATCCAGAGGTAATTTATTATTGTTCTTGTTGTTGATATTGTTGTTAATGGCTGCCTGCCGCCATTTGCCGTGAACAACAAAAAACGAGGAAATATTAACTTTATTATTATTATTGTTGTGATTACGTGGAATATACGAACGGGTATTGAATCTATGAATCATAGCTGCTCTCGCTGCATGCATCGAATATAATAAGTGAAAGTAGTGTCAGGTAGCTGGAATTAATCTGTTTTATCGTCGTTTCCAGTCGGTTGGATATAATTGATTCAAACAAATTCACCACATTTCTTTTATTATTATTATCGATTCTCTTTATTGTTGAACAAAGTTGGTAAACATTTTGTGTGCATTTCTGTTTTAGGATTTGGTTTCTTGTCGTTTGAAGATGAGGAGGCAGTGGATCGGTGTGTATCTGAACACTTCGTGAACCTGAATGGGAAGCAGGTGTGTACATCTTTGAATTATGTTATTATTTGCGTGAGTGCAATCTCGCATTTTCGATACGATTTGTTTATGGAAAAAACAAGAAGCGGCGGCTATAGATGTCGTCTCGTTTTTCCTGCTCTCTCGACATACGGTTTTGCAACGACATTGCGACCGCAATTGGGTCAAGTCTGTTTATTTATTTTTATTGTTTTCGTTGCATTCAAAGACAAATCATGGTCTTTATTTTATGGATGTGTGTAGCTGCTGCTGTTGCTGCTATTGCATTGATATTATTTATTATCTGTCTGTCTATATTCATGGTTTGGATTCGTTTGTAGGTTGAGATCAAGAAGGCGGAACCCCGCGACGGATCCGGCGGTGCCAAGATGAACGATCCGGGTTCCGCATGGGGTCCACCTCAAGCACCGTTGGGCATTATGCAGGGCCCTAACGGTCAGATGGGCGGTCCGCCGATGAACATGGGCGCCCACATGGGACCCAACATGATCCAGAGCTATCAAGGCTGGGGCACTTCGCCTCAGCAGCAGAGCTATGCCGGTTACGGAACGCCGAGCGGTCCCGGCTCCTACCAGGGCTGGGGTGCTCCACCGGCACCGCAAGGTCCGCCCCCGCAATGGGGCAACAATTATGGAGGTCCGCCGCAGCAGCAGGGATACGGATCTTACGGTAATTTGCATTTATAAATTTTATAATCGTGTAGATTGATGTGCATACTACTACCACTACTCTACACTGTCTACTACCTGCTATTACCTACTACTACTACTACTGCTACAACAACAACTACAACAGCAACGGAAAATTCATATGTTTACAATAATCATCAGCAAGTCCTCCCGCGCCCCGTTCCCCTTTCTTCATGGTTTCAACGTGGCTCGTCAATAAAAAGGAAAAGCGTGGATGCGCGTATATTATGTGCGCGTCCATGTAGACTGACGAGCCTATATTAACACCTTATAACGGGGGGTTGTTTTGGCCACTGATAGTATGTTCAAACACAAGTTGCTATTCAGTATAATTAAAACGACTCACATGCATATCTCTCTCGCCTCCTCACCCCTATTTTCTTCTTTTAAACGAATCGAACGCCCGTTTGTTTTAAAGACTTGTAGTATACAGTATAATAAAGTTTATGCACACTGAAAGTACATAATGCTATTCACCATACATACATGCAGCACATACACTTCATGTGTACTAATAATATATTGGATGGTTCATTCACATTTCACCACTACCACACAACAATTTACAAGTTATGATTGGTCAACAGTAGTTTGATCATGTGCTTTACACAACTTCTATAACCTACCTATATGACTGATGTATATTATTGATATATTATTAATTTTGTTTAGTGTATGTGTGCAGACAGATATACGTAATCGTAACTTGTAGATTATTGTCGTTGTCTTCATGATATATTTCATAGTCACTCTATCTTTCTCTCTGTATAACATGCTGTTCAAATCAACACTTACTTGTGTGTGTGTATAGTAAATTTAATCATTTATTTAATGTTTCTTGCAAAATGATTTTTGCTCAGTATTTTTAAGATGATAGGAAATATTTATCTTTCTCGCACTCTCTCTCTCTCTCTGTCATTCTCATGTGTTGAGGTTGAAGTATTTGTTCATGTGTTTGATTGTTTTGATTTTAATTTTTTTTGCTAAGATAAAGTGAAAGTGAGAAAAAAACCGTGTTAATTAATTAATAATAAACGATTGTAATATTGTGTCGCAGACTGATTTTACGAAGCGACGCAACTATTCTGCAATTTCATTCATCCATTTTTCTCATTTATTCATTCTCCCGAGTACACACTACATTACCCGTTCAAGATAACTGAAACTACCCTCCTCTATCTTTCTAAGGGAGGGGTTTCAATTATTAAGAAAATACCCACCCTACCACCACCTGCACCACAGAATATTGTTGTCACAATGAATGAGATTTTGAGGTTCATCGGGATGACAATATTCACTCTATCCATTCCTCCGCCCTTCTCTATCTACTCTGAGGAGAAGAACTATTAATTGCTGTGCTATTATAAGTCTTTGGAGCATCGGAGGCGTTTTATTAATTATATATTTTAACGTATCCTAACGTGTCATAATTAATGATGTAAATTACGTGTTTTTTGTTTTGTTTGTTTGTTTTGTTTCTGTTGTACTCATGATGATTGTGGAGTTTCCGGCGGAAATGTAATATTTCGGTTCGGTGCGCCGTCGCCCTTCTTGTCGTAGTCGTCGTTTTGCTGACTGACTGATAGAGATGGTGATGTTGGATCTCCACATCATCATCACCGGCGGCGGTAATGTTGATGTGATGAAATTTGGTGGGATTGTGTGTGTGTCTGCATAAATATATATTTATTTATATATTGGGATGACGGAGGAGGAGGAGAACAATTTTCGTGGAATACAATGGTGGTGTGTTTTTTGGATGTTGTTGTAGGTCCGGGCACCGGAAGCGGAACAGCCAGCTGGAACAGTTGGAACATGCCGCAAAATAATCAGTCGACGGCCCCATCAGGTGTGTAGATAAATGTGCATTGCATTGGGAGAGAGGGAGAGAAAGATAGATAGTTAAAAGATAAATAGAGATAGAGAGTGAGAGAGAGAGGAAGAAGGGAGAAAAAGAAAATGAATAAATAAATAAATGTACACGCGTGTAGTGGGAGGGAGAGGAACGCGAGCGGCGAGCGACTACGACAACCGGGGTGAGAAACAGAGAGAGAGAGAGATAGGAGGAAGGATGTGATTCCATCGAAGGAGTAAGAAAGAAATAGAGTGAGAGAAAGGGGTGATGGTGATGGCGACGATGATGACGTTGAACTGTTGTTGTTGTTGTTTGTTGCTGTTACTACTTTGCAGCAGCACGATCGTTCGTTCGTTCGTTGTTCTACTTCTTCGGCTTCGTGTGTGTACATATCTATATATACATATATATGTGCTCACATCTGTACATTGCATACATGTATGTATACCATATTTAATTGTAGTATACATATATGCATGGTTGATATATATATATGTATACATTTTTAATAAATTGTATGTTTCTGTGTGTGTGTTTGGAGGAAGCAAGGAAGGAAGTAAGGAAGCTTATTGTTAGAAAATTAATCGATTCGGTGTTTGATGTGTTGTGCAAATATAGGGTACATCGCTGGCGATCTTTACACCCGTCAGCAGTCAGGACCAGGCGGTCCCGCCACGCCCAACGCCCCCCAAAATTCGAATGCTGCTAACTCGAAGCCACCGCCGTCCGCCTCCGATTACTCCAACTACGCTGCGTACGGATCGTACTCGGGCGACGCGGGTGGAGCATACGGAGCCCCGCCTCGTTCCTACGGCAGCGATGCAGGATCCCAAGTAGGAAGTTACACGTCCCAACAGCAACAGCAGGCAGCACAAAACTCAGGTGCAAAACATTTCAATGATTTTAAAGAGTGGCCCAGTTCTTGACAACCTTCTTTCGATAATCATAGTACCGTAGTAGTCGCAAACATAATTAAAAAAAAAAGCAGCAACAGCAGCATCAGCAGCGGCAGTAGAAATAATAATAACAACAACAGCAATAATGTAGGTGAAGGTGGTGGTGGTGGTAGTAGAAGTGGTGGATGCGTCGGCGTCAGCGGCGACGGTGGTTGCGATGACGACGAAGGTGGCGTTGGTGCGTGCGGCGGGACTCTGCTGCCGTTTCACACGACGGTAGTGGACGACGGTAACGGCTGCGGCGGCGGCGGCGGCATCTCTATGAAGCAGCAGCTGCCGCATCCGTTCCTCGCGATCGGTTTCCATCCTCTGCAACATCAACAACTGAACGGTGGTGGTAACATCATCATCGTTAGCAGCAACAACAACAGTATCGTCGTCGTCAATAATCGTCATCATCACAATCAACGTCGTCCTCGTCAACAACAAAATCTCGCTAACCACCACCAGCGGCAGCAGCAGCAGCAGCAGTACCATCACCACCACCGGTACCATCAATTCGGTAATTTGAGTAATGTGGGTGTATGTTGTAACAGTTGGAAACATATTGGCCTGATTGACGTGAAGGGAGGAGCCGGCACCGGAGGCGGCACCGCTGTCGTCGCAGCGAGTTTTTACGATTAGACGGACGGACGCGCAAACAAAAGCACGTCAACAACGCCCGTCTCTTCGCACGCATAAACACATAAACACCACACACGTAACAACCACCGACAGCCAAGACCGCCCACCCAATCCACCCAAACCCCCATACGAGTATCATTTAGCGAAAGGCAAAACTTTTTTTTTAAATTTAAGTTTAAACATATTATTACTATACTATATATCTATAGACTACAGACAGACTACAAACCGATTTTATATATAATTATTATTTTCTTTTTTATAATTTTGTTCAATTCACAATTGATTGATTAAGCGGAAAAAAACACAAACGTTTGCATACCATTATATAAATGATGATTCAGATGTCGAAAATATAATAATAATATCCATCCTCTGCACCCCCACAAAAACAATTACCACCAGTACCAGCACACATTCATCGACCAATCAACAAATCGTTTCGATCATCCTCCTCCTACTCCTCCGCCGCCCCCGCCTCCCATCAAACCAAACAACCTCGTCTTGTAATAATAATAATGAAAGTTATTAGTTTCTCTTTTTTAATTATGTAATTTCTTCGTCGCCTCCAAACTAACAAAACTCCCCTTTTACGTTTTTTTTTCTTCCTGCTGTGTCTCTCCTCCTTTTTCTCTCTTTCTCTAATATTTCACTCCACCAACTTTGTTGCTACTACTACTACAACTGGTAAAAAAAAAGAAAGAAAGAAGTTTAATTGAAAGAATGCGAATAGTTCTGCATTATTTGTCCCTCCTCCTCCATCCTCAGCAAAACACATCCTCCCATATTTTTAACTCTGTTTCTCTTCAATTACTTTTTGTTTTTTAATTTTATTTTAATTAATATACATTTATACATACATACATATATTCTCTCCTTTTTTATTTTAATTATTTTTTTTCTTATTGTTTTGTTTTCTATTTTCTATCTTGATTAATTATGTTTATGTACATCTACATATATAGAATTTTACACAAACGTATATATATATGTAATAATAATAATAATTATTGGAATTATTATTATTATCATTATTATACTTTTATTATATATATATTTAATTTAATCAATACTTTATATATATATACATGTAATAATTATATCATACACATATATATATATTATTACTATATAATTAATTAATTATTATATATATATATAGATTTCATATTATGGTTTTGCAATTTTCTGAAAACACGAACATTTTGGATAGAAAACGCGCGCGCAGAGCCCGCCAGACAGATCAGAGAAACAAACATATGTTGACTATTTTTAAGCACCCGCTCAATTTGTTAAAAAGTATATATTTAAAGTAATACAATACATACATACATATATATATAAATATATTTGATAAGAAGCTAAATTACCTCAATAATACGATGAAGAGAAGGGAACGAGCGAGCGAGCGAAAAAAAAACTAAAAGCAAGCGAAGAGTGTGTGTGCGTGTGTGTTAATACATTATATTAATAATATATTTATAATGATAATTGTTGATGATGATAAGTTCGGTCGGAGTAGGCGGCGCTGTCGCAGATGATCTGACGCAGAGCGGCGGTACTTTATATTCTTCTTTTGTTTGGTATTTTGTTTGTTTCGATGATTGCGATTGGTGGAAGGAAGGAAGGAAAGAGAAAAGAAGGAAAAAAACAAAAATAGCACGGCGCACGGACTATATAATTAAATGTTATCTAATTAAGTAACTTTAGAGAAAAGAAAAAAATGTGATTCACTAAGATTAATAGGAAATTGTTAAAATTAAGATATCTTAAACGCAACTCAACTGTAACTGACTCTGACCTCCTCTATCTGTAGATAGGTTCAGTTTTTAATTTTAAATTAAGTAACATTTGTAATAATTTTTATTTTCGACTCCATTTTACAAGTGTATCATATTTTGAGCATTTAAGTAATTTATATTTTGTTTCGTTTTTTCTTTGTTTTGAAGGAAAACGATAAATTGTAAACGATTCACTATTATATATATATATAATTATTATTATTATTACACACTACTGCATCAAGTCTCTAGTCTCTCTTTTTTTTTGTTTGTTTAATTAATTAATATTATTGTCTCCAATTGCCGCCCCCGCAACTATTATTGTTAATTATTAGGTGTTTATTTTTCTCTCTTTCTCTTCTTTTTTGTTTGTTTGTTTAAGAAGTAATTATTCCTTAATCGATAAAGTAGTAGGTAATTTTATTTAGATGGAAAATTGTACATACATACACTGCAATAAGTAGTGTTAGTAGGTAGATGCAATTGATTTATCTATTTGCAAATTTAAGGGAAAATTAAAACAAATTAGGCCAATTATTGTTATATGAATAGATAGATAATGTCCTTTAGTGTGCTCTCGCCGCCGCCGTCGTTTATTTTTTCTTCTCTATTTCACTCTCGATTCGTCGTCGCATTTATATCCTCTTCCGCCGATCGTCGTCGTCGTCGTTCATTCGTTCTGCTCTATCGTCTTTCGCGTCGCCGCCTTCTGCTTTTTCTCATCCGTCTCCTCGCAGCAACCCGATCGTTAAATAATCGTTGGTGATTGGGGGAGATTTTTAACGATTAATTTTTCCTCCTCTCTGGATTTTAAAATCATTTGTAATTTTAATTATTAATTTAGAAATGCGCTTTTCTTCTCTCTTTTTGTTTTCATTTTTTGGAAAGTGGGTGTCGTGTATAGGTTTACTGATTGCTTCTCTCGCAAAACGTAAATTTAAATGAAAATAAAAGAAATGCCACTCGAAAATGTTGATCGAGTGTGCGTGTGTATAGACTTAATTTATAGTGGCTATCCCCCGATTCCATTGTTTTACGACTACTATTATTATTATTTTTGTTTTGTTTTGTGTTCCTCTCCGTGTAAAACTAAGTGTAACTTTAAATGATATTGTTGCCTAGTGTTAAGTATACTGTAACGTAATTTAACTACTACTACTACTATTATTATTATTATTACTGCTGTAAACACGTCTCCTCTATACCTATATATATATATAGTATAATATATTATATACCTTAATTTAATTTAAAATTTAAAGAAAAAAAAACTTTATGAACTGGTTGTGATCTCGCATATAAGAAACATTTAATAAGAAGATTAAGAAGAGGTGGAAACTTCAAAGCCAATTATATTTATATATCGTCATTTTTTTTTATTTTGTTTTGTTTAAATTAATAATTTAACGTGCCTCGTTTCTTGGCAACCGGGAAACAAGCAGAGCACACTTTAAACTTAGAGAGACAAACGATAGAGAGAGAGGGATGAAAAGAGAGTTAAAGATAAGCAAAACCTACGTGATTGGGAATGAGGAGAAAACATAAAAAGAAGGGGCTCGGGCGCAATAAATTCGATTATTTTAATTACTACGTTTAAATTATAATTAATAATAATAATACTGTAAAACAATTTTTATATATATATATCTATTCTTTTGTTTGTTTGTTTGTAACTTAGGAGATTGGATTCGCGAAAAGCGAATCCAAAGTACTGACTATTTACGGAGTTGATAACGAAATTTAATTAATTGTACATCCATAATAAATAAATAATTATATACATATATATATATACATACACCGAAATCACTGAGAAGAAGACGAAGAAGAGAAAAATAAAACAAAAGCGAATAATATGTAGTGTTAAAGAGAGAGAGAGAGAGAGGGGCAAATTTTTATTAGCTAATGAGATTTAACGATTAATTATTACTTAAAATATATATATATATATAAATATCTTATATACTTTTTGAACGGTTTTGTTTTGTTTTTTTTTTAAACTGTAAACTATATAATTTAAAAACCAAACAACTACTCTTCTTAAGATTTGAATGATTGATCTTCTGTCTCGAAGTCTGACGTCGTTTTCCGTTCACAATGTTTTCCGATCTAATATTATGATTATTATTATTATATGAAAGAATAGAAAAAAAAACTATTAATATTATTAAAATTAATCAATTAACCCTGGATAATTATTTATACAATTTTAAATCAATTCATTTTTTTTTTAATTTGGAGCCATTGTCTCTTGATCCAAAAAGAGCGTTTGCTGCGTTTTTTTTGTTTTATTTTTACCCTATGTTGTTTACTGTGTTTTCTTCTGTTTGTTTGATTATTTTATTTTTTAAATTTCGATTTCTATTATTATTATTTTTTAATTCAATTCTGATCTTTCCTCTTTATGCAAAAACAACAACAAAAAAAAAACAATTGATCAAAAAAAAAATATAGTGTTTTTTTTTCTCTCATTTTCTTCTCCCATCTCCCTTCCTTCCTTTCCTATCTCTTTCTCGTTCAT